TGCCCTCCTTCTGCTAACCTAATATTGCTCTGCTACATTTCCTGCTTCCTTTGTCTTTTTCATTTCCCAAACCTTTCTTGCCACACAGTCTCTTTCCACTGAAATAATTGCTGTGTTTGCAAGAGATAATTTCTTAAATTTTACATGCAAGAAAATGACAGCAGCACATTACCGTGAGTGGTGTTATCACTAATCTTGGACATGCACCCAAGTATTCATAGGCATAGGTATATTGGGATAAAGCCATTCTTGCCACACAGTCTCTTTCCACTGAAATAATTGCTGTGTCTGCAAGAGATAATTTCTTAAATTTTACATGCAAGAAAATGACAGCAGCACATTACCGTGAGTGGTGTTATCACTAATCTTGGACATGCACCCAAGTATTCATAGGCATAGGTATATTGGGATAAAGCCATTCTTGCCACACAGTTATCCAAATCAAGGTCCCAATAGTAACGCAATTGTCTTTGCCAGTCAAAATTCTCCACAGAATCCACCTTGCCAAATATAGAAAATATTTATTAGATTTTTTTTTTAAAAAGGTAAATTTAGACATATTATTTAAACAAAACTAACATACCTTTTGTTGTACAAGTTCTGTCACAATGTCTCTTGCGTGTACATCAATAGTAATGAGCGCAGTTATGATATTTCTGTGAAGTTTGGGAAGGCTGCCGCGGACTAGTGAAGCCAATGCATTTAGTCTCTGTGAAATGAAAGCAAACAAAATGTTCTGAGTCTTTATTCAACATAATACCTTACCCTGAAAGGATAGGAATAGCTTAAATTGAAGAAAATGGTATGGAATCAAAAGAGGTGATAGGAACTTTTTTGAATATTTTCATCAACAATGAAGATTATTCCCATGTTTGATATTTTTTCATTGATCTCTCTGAAACAGGATATACATGGTCATTCATTCAAGAACCATTGATGTCATTCTGATGACTGACTCATTATAATATCAAGTGAATTTTCACTGATGTGGCATGTATGGGCCATGCCTTCAATTTTTGGTCTAATTTATTATTTTTCCCATAAGCTTGGCTTATCTTTTGATGTGCCAGGATGATCTTTAATCACCTGGAAAACAAATTAAGAAAAAAAAAAAACCTATAGTATCTGTATGGTTTCACCAGAGAAAGGAAGGTTGTAAAGTCAAAAAACATATTAGATACTAGATAAATGATTCCAATCTTTAAGCAAATTCGAATATGACACTTATTGTTATAAATTAGTTAAGAGAATTTTTCATGTTCAATTTATCACTTTATCGTCATTATCATCCAGATAGTGTTGATATCCAAAATGACAAATTCAAAAGATATTAATATTAATTGCTACAAACAAGCAACAGAGAACTTTTACTGTAACCAATGTTCAACTGATTTTTTTTTTTTTAAACAGAGATTTGCATTCAGAAATCAGTGTATCCTTTGCAGAAACTATTTCTCGGTCTTTCCAAGAGTGTTCTGTGCACTTTTTTAATAGATCAGTGTCTGGCAAGGACAACATTTATGGTGGAATTCTGTGTTAGAACATGATAAATTAATCAATATAAACATTGTGATTATTTTTGATCAAGCATTATTAGTAAAAGAATTTTACTTTGAATACTCTGTGTGTGCACTTGTGCACATGTTGATTAATGAATGTAAGTAGCTATATATCAAACTGTTTTGATTAAATCATTATGTGAAACTTTTGTTGGGAATAAAAAAGAAACCTTAATGGGATGGGAAGAATGAAGACAGTGAATACTAAATGAAGCCATTTAGGGGAATGGTAATTTTAGACCCAAGAAAACTAAAATAGATGAAAATTCTGCACAATCCTAGATGGAAGAGGCTACAATTTTAAAGAAGTCAATATATCTATAAGTCACAAACTACTTTATGGTGGGAAGTATAGTTTTGGAATAAAAAATATATATTTACTGAAATATTACAGCTGCCTGGGAATTATGGTTTTATTATTTGTAATCAGGAGTACATCTCAACTTTCCAAGCTTTTTTGGGCTAAGCATATTTTTTACATGGAAAGAAATATAGTAAACTTTTCTATTTATTAAATTCAGACCTATGCTTATTTCAGATTTTGGCAGCATTTTTCTTTAAATATTCTTGGAACATTGGCACTGGCAGGAATAGTAGAATCTGATAGGAACTAAAGAGCTCACAGCTTACTCTGGAATCTTACGCATGTATTATCTTCCAAAAATGCTGTTAGAATGACAACACCAGTAACATTGTACTAAACAAGTACAAGACAGAGCAATAACTATTAGAAGTGATGTATCATCTGAATAAAATAGCCATCTTCTCAAATATGTGAAATGTCTTTTTATTAGGTATTTCAGACTAGAGAGGCCCATGCTTTGTATAAAAAGGCACTGTCCACAATAATTATTTTGATTTTGAAAATCACGTCAAATATGGCATAGAAAATCCATGTCATCAATGTGTTTAAAAAGATAATAATATCTGAATACTGACATGAAAATTTTCATTTTCAAAAGCTTCCAAAGCTTCTAAATGATCATGATCTTCTCCTTCTAAACACTGAGTTAGATCACGGCACCACATGAGCTGAGAAATGGTCAGTACAACCTGTATAAAGAAAACAAAACAGAATTCAGACAGAAGTATCTTGTGCTGGAGATGGTATCTATTTTCAGTATTCTGATTTTACCATGTAAACACTACTGAGTATTTCTACAGCACAAAACTTCTGAACTTCCGTAACCATCTTCTGCAGCTTTCAATAACCTCCATAGGCTTATATGGAAGTTATGCCACTAATCTTTACCACCAGTCTGAATGTTTCTGAACTTGGTTCAATATAAACAGCTACATCTATTAACTGGCAACCTATGAATAGAGAATATTTATTGTATTAGTTTCAGTTCTAAAATTGGGAATATGCTTGAGTTCAAGAACACAATCATTCCCAAGAAGCGGTATACTGAATTCCTAAGATAAAGCAATAAGGTGCTTGTGAACTCTAAGCCATAAAAGAGTGTGGTTTACCTGAGAAGGATGCCCAGCAATAACCCACTCCACTCTTTCTCTGGTTTGATAATCTGCAATGGCAGCTTTGCTCAGTCGTCTAAGGGAAGTGAACATTGCTTCTTCAACTTTACCAAGCCAGTCTTCAACATTTCCTCTGGCCTTAAGTCCTTTTCCCAAGCCAACCTAAAAAGGCAAACCTTCCATTCACTGTGAGAGTAACTTTTATGACTTTTTTCCAAAATTCATACCATTTTTCCCCCAAAGTATGGTTTATTACAAAATTATCAATGATCAATGAATGACACGTCATGATTTGCATGGCACAAAAAATGGAAAAATCACTTCTAAATGTTCCTCATATATAAATTGTTTCTTTTTAAATATTCTCCATCTGAATTATGACTACTTAAAATAACTGATTAAACAATGTTCAGGTGCCTAATGTTCTGTTTGCTCTAACACAGTCACACTCTATTGTCATGAAGAAAGTGAATCCAGCATGATGTTCTACCAGAAAACAACAATCTATTTTCAAAAGTTGGAATCATCAAGAATCAGTTTCATTTACTTTCACTGATATAAGTGAAATGGTTACAATTCTTTTCTATGGGAAAAACTAAAACATTAGATACTTTAGGGACACAAATTCAACAGAAATACAGGTAGTTCTCACTTAACAACCATTCATTTAGTAACTGTTCGAAGTTACGTGTTGAACAAAGGGACTTACAATTGGTCCTCACACTTGCAAACATTGCAGGACCCCCATGGTCACGTGATCACAATCTAGGCGCTTAGCAATCAGCTTGTACTTATGATGGTTGCAGCATCCTGGGGTCACATGATCATCATCTGCAACCTTCCCAGCTGACTTCCAGCAAGGAAAATCAATAGGGAACCATGTGATTCACTTAACAACTACATGATTTGCTTAATGGCCACAGTGATTTGCTTAATGACTGCTGCAAAAAGGGTTGTAAAATCGGGTGCGACTCACTTGACAACCACCCCACTTAACAACAAATTTTCCTATCCTTATTGTGGTTGTTAAGCGAGGACTACCTGTATGCAATGACTTTATATACATAAGGGAAAATATAGTCTTCCACCCATCCGCCCCTTATAGGACTCCTGCAATATACCTTTTTGCAGAATTATCTCATCTGTTATCATAGCCATTTTCCTAGTATTTTAAAAAAAAATACTTACCCTTTCACCTTCAGGTGACAGCATTGCTAGAATATCATTGGTGAGA